AATAACAAATGGAAGGCATGCTGGCATTATAGAATAGCCAACAGCCCTGTAGAGCCATTTTCTGGAATGATATTGCAGACATTACTCCTTCTACCTCATCTAGAAAAATACTTCCCATGGGATTGTTGGTTCTGTGTGGGATAATTTTTACTGCAATAACTCTTCTTTGTTTTCTCAAAAATCATGGCTGGTTTCCACCACGCTCACCAGTAGGTAGAGCTAGGAGGATCTGGGAGCGCATGGGAGAGCCTAGATTGGTCCTACTAGATCTGTAACGATTTTGCTATCTTCAACTTCAGTTGACGTTGAACTTCAGTGTTTGCAAGGACTCCACAGAAGAGCACTGGGATGGGACAGGTAGAGCCTGTGGTCTCCAGGTCTCAGAGTCACCAGAGATTGGCACAAAAGTAACTGATTGCCTTTAGCCCCATGTGGATACTTGATAATGCTCCAGATAGCAACTCAATGGAGAATATGAGGACTGTTTCCTAAATCCCTGTAAAACTCATCTTTTCAAGAGAGGAATCCACAAATTCACCTGTTACAGTTAAATCCATTGGAGCTTCTGAATATTTTTTTTGTAAGACATGATGTTAAAACACGGCACCCACGGCTCATGCCTGTAATTCTAGTTACTCAGGAGGCTGAGAGCTGAGGATCACAGTTGAAAGCCAGCTCAGGCAGGAAAATCTATGAGACACTTACATCTAAATAACTACTAAATACTAAAAAAGCTCTGGAAGTAGAGCTGTGGCTGAAGTGATAGAATGTAAGCTTTGGCCAAATAAAGGTCAGGGACAGTGCCCTGGCCTGAGTTCAAGCCCCAGGACTGGTGTGCATGCATGCATGTGCGCATGCGCAGGCACACAGACACACAGGCACAGACACACACACAACACACACACACACGCACGCACGCACGCACGTGCAAAACTAATGTGAAATCTCTGTGACCCCCCAATGGATCATTCACCCAATATAAGTCAGCTACTGGATATAGATGATGATTAAAGAGACCTCTTTCTCCTAGAGATTTAAGTTGCTACCTTTATTCTACCATACATTACATTCCCATGCCTGTGATTAGAATTGCTTTTATGTTCCACTAGTCTCTTGTCTCATTTTTACCTGTTCAGGACTATTGTTTTCTAATTGAAGAGAATTTACAATGGCTTCTAATAATAAACTCAGTGTTGTTAACTTCCTCTTCTTTCTTGTGCAATGTATTCCAACCCTTATGGATACTCTTTCCCTCTGTAGTTCTCTTGATTATTGCATATTTCAGGTCATTTATTTATTTGTTTTGCATGTTTATTGTTGTTGTAAAGATGTGTTACAGAGAGATTACACGTATATAAGTCAGTTCAAATGTACATTTCTTTTTGAATGTCACCCTTTCCCTTGCTCTCTCCGAGTTTTTCCCTCCTTCCCACCCCCAAGTTGTATAGCTCACGTTCAACACAGTGTCTGGTAAGTATCACAGCTGCATTTCTTCACCCTTTGTCCTACCATTTCTGTGCCCCTCCCCTTCATCCCCCCAAAGATAGATAAAGGAACAAAGAAGGCAAAAGGAAAAGAAAACAAGACCAGCAACAACGCTGTGCTGGAATGTAAAATAAAATACACTGGGACATGATAAGTGAGTGCATATTGTATTTTCTTATAAACTTTGAAAGCAACATGTCTGGCTTTAGAGGGACAAAACTTTGTAGTATTGGAGATCAAACCTGGGTCCCTGCCCTAGTATCCCCTCCCCCTTCGACCCTTCTCATGTGTCTGTTCCTTCTTTAATTTGCTTCATTCAGCCATTCCACTGGTATTTTTTATCACCTATGATGAACGTTGTGTTTTCAACCATTGACACATCTTTCCTGAGCTGGAAGCAGAGCAGGGAGAACTAAGAGCTTCCCCTACACAGTGTTCCTCCCTGCTCCTTGGCAAGGTTGACAGATGCTGGCAATGCAGTGACCAAGGCTACTTGGTTGTGTTTGGGCACATTGTGAAGCCCCATTAGTATCTGTCAGCCTCCTCCAGCCCAGGCAGGGCAGGCAGCTGTGTGCTCTGACCTCCTCTTGACATTCTGATAGCTTTCCTTTCACATCACAAACTGGTGAGATCTACTGCTTCCCCTCCTGGCTGGAAAGGTTACCTCCCAAACACACCACCTGGGATGAATTATGTCTCTATTGATTTGAGCTTTGTTGTCTCAACCACAAATTTCAGGACGGGTGTTTGAGGGCTGCACCCCGTTTTGGAGAAAAAAGAATGCGAAAAACTTTATCTGTAATGCTAGCGGAAGCCTTGGTCATTGTCCTGCATTGGTCTTGCTCAGACCTTACTTCTGAGATTGTAGCGGTGCTGTTCAACGTGTTCCCCGATGGGACATGGCCTTCAGACCAGCCCAGAGATTCATTTCTGCACTGAGACTCATTCTGTCCAAGCAAAGAAATATTTTCTTACCAAGAATTTCATCTGTTCCACAAAAATGAATGATCTTTCTCCTTAAGTACAACTCTTGATTCCATTTCCTTTGAACCAAAATCTTATCTGGGTTCCTTTGGTCCCAAACCCTGATCTTAGTACCTTGGGTTGCATTTTTCAAGCTCTAGAAATTAAATGAATGTTAATAAGATCTGTGTCCAGACCACATGTTCCTCTTCCTCCTCTTCCTCCTCCTCCTCCTCTTCCTCCTCCTCCTCCTCTTCCTCCTCCATCTCTTTTTCCTCATCTTCTTTTTGAGACAGTCTCACTAGGTAGCCCGAGGTGGCCTCAAACTCTTGATCATTCTCCTCAAACTTCCAAGTGCTAATATGTGTGGGTTACCATTACTTGGACAGATTTGCTTTCCCTCTGATAGCGATTAGGGGAGGAAATATTCTTACTTTACCATCTTACTATGGCATTATGACATACACACACACACACACACACACACACACACACAACATTATTAGAGTCACTCAAATCTCTGCTTCCATTCCTGACTCTACTCTAGGTTAGTCACTGACATTGTATGTTGAGTAGCCTATTCCTAAAAGATGGAAGAACTTTCAGGCTACAGAAATTCTAAGGACAGGCTGAGGGCAAGGGTTCAGCATCTTTAGGCAGAGGGAAGGATTCTTATCTCTTAGCAAAGGGAGCCGATGGAGTGCTTGACCAGAAGAGCTGCCAAATCCACAGATCACTTTAGAATAAATTGTGTGCTAAAATCCTAAAGAATCCAGTGCCCAGTTTCCTTCTTTATGAGTGGAAATGAGTGCAGAGAGCCTGCTAGAATCAATGTTATCTTTTACTGAGCTCTGTTTAAGAGAAATAACCAGCCTTGTATGCATGAACTGTTTTGTTGAATAGTAACTCCTTTCTACAGCCACTTGAAGAAAATACAAATTTTTTTAGAGAGCTAACCAGATCATTAGATTCCCAAAGAAACCTAACTCAGATAAGCAAAAGCAAGTCAACAAGTGTCAATAAGGAATACTATTGATTTGACCTGTGCAGCCACCTCTTTGAATTGTGTGAGAAGAGCTCTATTTCTTGAAACTGTCACCTCTTACAGCACTGACCACAGCCCTGTCTCCCTTCCATGTGCTTGACCCTCATTGTCTCTTTGTCATGTGATGGGAGGGAAAAAGAGGAAGTGGTTGATAGGTGGAGCCCATAGCAGTAGTTTGAGCATTCAGTGGCTCTGGAAATCTCCCAGAGATCACAGGGGTCTAATCTGAGCCTCATCTGAACATGAGGCCTGGTTCCCATGTCACTTATCAGCTGCCTAAAACACTGTGATACCCACTAAACTATAAGATTGCTTTATAGCCCGGGTCTATGACAAGGCATAGCTGGTCCACGTTCGTCTCCAAGTCTTCATTTTCACACTAAAGCATGGATGTGATCAGTGACTGCTTCCTAGGGTTCATGTGGCACTTAACGAGAAAGGCTGTATGAGAAGTGTTGTTGTTTATCATTCTAGCCAAGGTTGCAGTTTTTTTTGGTGAAAAGATTAGGAAAAGTGAATTGCATGGGTGTACAAAAGTAAGCCCATCTCCTTCTACTGGTTCTTGACTTGTAGAGTCTGCCTGCCTTCACTGATGGCACTGTGGGCAGGGTAGAAGAGGGTACTGTCATCTTCATTTTTACAGAGACATCCAAGGAAGATCAGAAGGGTTAAGTGTGCACGGGCTCATTTTCCTGTGTCCCGCTGAGATCGGCAGAGCTGAGATTCAAACCTGGCTCATGTGATGCTGAATCTGACCTTGTTTTGTCCCTTGAGTCTCAGAGGACACCCCAGGCCCATCGCAGTGTTTCTCCTTGCCTCATTCTGAAGAGGGGACTGGAGAATTCTTTGGGACCTGGCCTCCTGGCTCTCTGCTCATTTGGAAATTCTTTCTGAATAACATTGAACTTTATGTTGGGCTTATTGTATCCATAGGCTATGAAAAAATGTTTTTATTTGCATTTGATCTGAAAAATTCATGGTTTTAGAGGATGGCATTAAACGAAAAAGATAATCACAGATCAGTAGCTGGAAGAGACATGAGTGTATATTATGGCCAACTGGTCAATCTTGGACCTGTTATTCTATTTTCCTAAGCTTTTGTTTTCTCATCTGCAAAATGGGGCTAATAGGAGCACCTACTATTGAGTCCATTGTTGAGATGAACAGAATTGGTCTGCAGTAAGTACTGAAATGGTCTGTTATCTCCATGCTGATACTGATGAGGGTGTTTTTAGCTCACTAGAAATGCAAAGCAACTGAGATCCTTGTGTCTTTCCTAAGACTTCTCATACAGATTCCATTGTGAATGTGTTATTTGAAGGCCACACAACTATTAGACGTGTTGAAGTGAGGATTTATCTATAGGTTAGCCTTACACTAATTTTTTTGTCTTCTTTATTTTCAATCGACACAAAAGAATATCTAGTCTACTAAAACAAGGAAAAGTCATCCCTGTATTTATTTCTGTGCAGGCATGTACACTGACCTTGTATTTACCTTTGTTTAGGGTTTGATGCGTACTTTACATCCCGTACCCTGGAGAACAATAGAAGAAACGTGTGGTTTGCAGAATACTGGGAAGAAAACTTCAACTGTAAATTGACGATTAGCGGATCCAAAAAAGAAGACACAGATCGCAAATGCACAGGTAATTTCATTCCTCATGTCCTTCTCTGGTGATGTTACATGGTCAGAATCAAAATGTCTGCATAGCTGACAGAAGGAAGCGTGGTTGAAGACAAATTGAGGAAGTAAATTGAATTTTACTAGATTTTCAGAAAATGGAACATAAGACTTGCAGGGAAGTACAGACAAGATTGTATTCTGTTCTGCCTGTCCATCTATCAGTAATTGACATTTTCTTTGGCTCTTTGAATTCGGGAAGGGTCAGGTGCCTTTTGAATGGTCTTCTTGATAAATATTAGTTCATGTGATAGTGGGAAGTCATTCTCAGATAGACAAAAGTCTCTGAGAAATTCCATAGCAGGATTAGATTTAGCTGTCCTCATACACAGCCTATTTGATTAAGGAACCAAAGTGCTTGAGTCTATAATGATGAGAATTCCAAGTGATTTCCACAATGTGGAAGTTGACTTACCTGTTATTTAAAAATCAGCCTAGAATCACTTCCTACTCCTCATGTAAAGTCTCGTATGATTTTTTTTCTCCTGAATAAAAAATGTGGGTATACAAGTAGCCAGCAGGAAACATCACACAGCAATTCATTTATTCATTCATAAATATTTATTAAACTGCCTCCTTTCTGCTGAGCACCGCACTAGACTTGGTGGCATCATGGGAAGCAATGCCAAGTAAGGAAGGCTTCCACCTTGAGTCAAGTCTGCAGGGCAGGAGTTTGGTATGATTTCAATGATCTCTGAGATAAATGCATAATTATAAACTGAAATGCATGTTCAGAATGTATGAGGTTGTATCACTTAAAAAATCGACTCCTATTGAGGGTATAAACTTCCTCCAGTGATTTACTTGATACTGGGAAGGAAGTTCAGAGGCCAAGCACTTTCCCAGCATGTGAGGATTAGGCTTTACTTTTTATTTTTTTTTAAAGCCGCATTTGATGGAATGATGCTTAGGTTAAAATAGAAAGCTTCTGTGACGAGTAGAAAAGTGAACTTGGAAGTTTTTGTTGTTTCCCTCGGGCCCTGAACCCTAGGTCGGCTTCGGTCACTCACAGCTGATGCTCTACTACTTGAATCAGGCTTCTAGACAAGCTTTTTACTAATTAATTGGAGACAGAGGTGTGTGTGTGTGTGTCTAAGTGTGTGTGTGTGTAAGTGTGTATGTGTGTGTGTGTGTGTGTGCCAGGACTGGGGCTTGAACTCAAGGCCTGTGTGCTATCCCCTATCTTTTTCTGCTCAAAGCAAACCCTGGCTACAGTTCTACTTCTAGCTTGGTGGTGGTGGTTGACTGGACTTTGCTGCCTGGGCTGGCTTCACACTGCAGTCCTCAGCTTTCAGCCCGCTGAGTAGCAAGGATTATATATGTGAGCCACCAGCCTCCAGCAGAGATGAAGTCTTAAGGACTTTTCTACCCAAGCTGGTTTTGAACTGAGATCCTAGGATTTTAGCTAGGTTCTCAGTGCTCACCTTAGGTTTGGGGAGTTTTCAATACAATCACATAGCCAAGAAAATAGCAAGAATAATTGTCGAAGCTCTGCAGATATGATAAACAAAAATATGTGGTTGAAGTATACAGAGTAAGTGAAGAATGTGAGCTGAGTCTAACATAGAACAATATAGAGTCAGATGTGTTGAGATGCACTTGGTGTTTGGCCTTGGTTTTGAGTATTGAATGTCCGTGGGAAAATGATTATAATGATGATATGATATACTGTATCATCTCATTACATCTTAAATAGCATCTTGATGCTATACTCCAGTAATTGTCAACCATTTATACTGGTGACCTTAAGGCATAAAACTTTTTTTTTTTTTGGTCCGGTCATCGGGCCTGAACTCTGGGCCTGGGCGCTGTCCCTCAGCTCTTCAGCTCAAGGCTAGTGCTCTACCACTTGAGCCACAGCATCACTTCCGGCTTTTTTCTTTTTGCTTATATGGTGCTGAGGAATCAAACCCAGGGCCTCAGACATGCAAGGCAAGTGCTCTACCACTGAGCCACCTTCCCAGTCCAAAGCATAAAACTTTTTAAGGTATAAAATCTTTATAAAATTTGCAATATGATTATGAAAGGAACACTTGTTGCTGGGTGCTAGCAGATCATACCTATTATACTCCTAGCTACTAGAGGAGGCTGAAGTCTAGAGGATTGTGGCTTAAGGCCAGCCTGGACAGTAAAGTCTTTGAAACTCCATTTCCACATGAACCAGCAAAAAGCTGGGCTGGTGGCATGGCACAAGTGGTAGAGCACCAGCCATGCAAACTTGATACCTTGAGTTCAAAAGGCAGTGGAAATGGACATGTGTTGGACAGAGTCCCAGAGTTGGTTTATGCTGGCAATCAGTCAGGTGGGATGTGTACAATGTGTGCCACTTTGTGCTGCAAAGAAGACAAGTCTGCTTCAGTGGGGTCTTCTTTTCTTTTTCTGTTAAGTAGCAGAGTAAAGAACAGATTCGTGACTGCCACCAGTAATACAGAATCAATCGGAGATGTATGCAGCTGGCCTAAGAGCTAACCAGAAAACCACATTCTCAAAACCATGTCCGAGAACAGAGAGATCTTTTCAGAAATACATTTCTTCCCACGATTGTGAGAAAAGGAATAAAACTAATTCAGTATTGACGAGACCTAGGTGACACCGAGCTCTCGAGTGGAAACTTGAAAAATTAGTTTGACATGTAGCTAATTTGTCTGTGAGACAGGGGACACTCAAGTGTAGAGAAGACTCCTGCTGAGTTATGACAGTTCTCAGAGTCTCTTGGACACGGATGGGGTCTGCAGAGTCCGGATGTAGGTGGAGTGGATTTCCTGGTGGGCACTCAGGGTACTTCTGCCTAGGGCTAAGGCCCTCTAAGTTTGTGTGTTGTCCTGTGCGTAGTATTCCATCCACAGCCACATTCCAGTGCTAGGATCATGGAGAATCTGAGTTTATGAAGACCGGTCTGATCATCCTCCTCACCACCCATCTACAGAAATGGAGGTGGACGTATTTCTTCTCCTTCCATGTGATCTCTGATGACATTTGCTACATCCCCCGTAACCCTCGATAATCTAGCTGCCCTCTTGTGCTCCCGTCTGTCCTCCACCAGGGTGAGGCACACTCCACTGTGTGGCTCCACCGGTGCTACGCCTCCAGTTGTTGATTAGAGGGAAGAGGCTGGCCAGGTGTTTGTCTGTCTTCCTTTTCTCTTGTCCACATCCAACTCAACAACCAAATGATTGCACAGAAAGCTCTTGTTCTTGACATCTCTGTCTGCAAGTGAAACATTGGGAGGGAGAACTCACACTGAGAGGGGTAAGGTGGGAAAGAGAAATGATGGACGGAAGTGACCTCCCATTGTGGAGATGAGTCCCTACAAGGAGAGAGAGGAAACACGTCTTCATCTGGGAGATGAATGGACAGCGGAAAGGAGCACTGATGGATTTGGGGGGATGAGAGGAAGGGAAAGCTGCTCTGGTGACCTTATTTTTTAAACATTAAGTGAATGGGTACAGGAGGAAAAAGCAACCAGCTGGAGGAGCTGGATGAATGGTTTAGCACTGTGGATTGATTTTAGAGACCCTGGACATTTGGAGCTGAGAGCTACAGAAAATAATCTTCCTATATATCTGTATCTGGGCTTCACTGCTCAAGAATAAGTGGATCTTGGGATAATTCACTCCTGGGATATAAACATAAATTACAATGCAAAATCGCATTGATTTTTTTTTAATTCTAGAATTTCTTTAGCCAAAGGAACTAGTTGCTGTTATGCGCTAGCTCCAAGAAGGCCAACAGAAAAGTAATCATTTGACACATTTTGAATGCAAAGGATGAGCTTCGTACCATGGGGAAGAGCAAGGTCCTGGGGTCATGGTGAAATGGGAAGTTCTATATTCTCATGAAAGGAAAAGGTCATGAGAAGAATCACTGTTGGAAAACCCCGAAGATGGATCAAACCAGCTCTACATGCTTTATCATCTTGCTTGGGGCCAGAGGGGCAGGCATTCTTATATAAAAAATCACCTGAGCTGTCATGTCATCTTCATTCTTATGAGTGATCCATGCTCACAAAACCTACGCTTGAAGCAAGTGATGTGACCACCTTATTTAATATTAAAGGATATTCCCTGATAGCCCAGTCTGAGTTTCTCAACCTGGAGCCTTAGATCCCTTTCTCCCAACTTCTCTGGCAGTGATCGTATTTCCTCTAATGGAGACAGAGCTTGGATGTAGGCTGCCACCTTGCAAGTAGATGTCCAGTAGAGCAAGCTTATTAGTCTAAGCTTAGCACAAAATACAAACTCCACCTGACAAAATGCTAGTGGCATTGGGCTCCTCCACAGTAGACGAGATTCTCTTATAGATAGTACCTACTGTGCGTCCGATGAGGTGAACTCTAGGCCTTTCACCATACAGTGTCTCCCTGAGGTAGGGATATTAGATGTAATTGGGGTTCAAGTTATACTTCTATCCCAGCCCCTACTCGTAGGCTACCTGTGGACCCTGTTCCCCCTTTGAGAATCACAGAAAACAGCTGTCACCAGAGGCCAGTTCTCAGTCTGATCTCACTGAGAATGAAAGCTGTAGTGATACTAAGGTGAAGGAAAATGAGGAGAAATTGAGGCTATCTTTGGTCAGGAAAATCACTGTGGTGATGTAGTTGAGAACCCGCAGGTCTGCGAATGAGGGAAGCCAGGGTTTCCCACAAGACATTCATGGCCGGATCTATGAAAGGTTGGAAAACACCATCACCCCTCCCCAACGCCATTCCTTCCTTCCGAGATGAGGAAATCCCACGCCCAGGGCTGTGATGGGTATTGAATCAGATACCTCAGAGGACAAATCCGAGACGTCAGCACCCAGCCATGGCTCAGCGGGGGCCACACTGGCCAGTGTCACCGTGGGAGGAATTCCTGAGACTCCTGCACGGCGGGCTGGTGAGAGGATCATCAGGTAGACATGAAACTTCAATGGGAAAACAAAGCACAGCACACGGACAAGAGATCTTCACTGGTGCACACCTTATTC